TATATTTGTATGTAATATAAGTATCAACGGGAGAGTAGCATCCCTTACTAATGGGGCAGTACACTTTGTTATATACTATCCCTCTCAGAACTCAAGTGGTTTGGAAGCTATGACAGCTCATCACAGATTTAATTATGCACCATTAGGGATTTAAACCTGGGCCTCTGATCACAGCTGTCCGTAACGACATTAACTGTGCTATTATGCCGCCTGAATTGTACTGAGAAACAGCCTTCGCACAAAGGTCATCAATGTACAGAATGTGTCAAGATGCGGTGAAGTCAGGCGCTGGTCAATTTTGGGGCACATGGAGTTATTTGAATAATATTAAATGCTGCTCATTTGTCCTTCTTTTTGGTTTAAAAAAAATGACGCATCTTTTTAAGATTAGAAATCGAGATAATGGCGACTGATTGAAGAAGGTGGGGTCACCTGATGTTTGGGGTAAAATTGGCGAGAAAATGACCCCAAAATTTGGTGATTTCCAAAGCTTCTGTGTCCTTGGAGACTGCATAGTTTCGGTCCTTGTTCCTTTAATCTACGTTTTTTTCAGTAATACCAAAACAAAAAAAGTACTTTTCGACGGACATAAAAGGTCTTGAGCCCAAAACCACAAAAATCGATTAAAATGCCTGAAATGGTGGAACAATGTCGGTTTCATCGAATTTTTTTTTTTACAAGCGCCTGATTTCACCACGATGTTTCATTAATAAAATCGCACCGTAGGGTGGTTACCCATTAAGTTTTTTTCTACCTGTTTGCCAAAATCTAGTTTGCTCGCATTTCTTGCTCATTACAGACTTGCGGTGTTCCCGTAGATGGTTCTTAATTCTTTTACTCTCTCCATGTTGTTGTTTGTCAGTGTTAGTCGTTTTGGGGGATCCAGCTGTCGGTTTAACTTTGTTTTTCTTTTGTTCATTGTTTTGTTCTTGTGTAAGAGGGAGGAGGTGTTGGACGATATGTGTTTGTTTGTTTGTTTGTTTGTTTGTTTGTTTGTTTGTTTGTTTGTTTGTTGCTGTTGTTTTTTATTTGGGGATGGAGTGGATGGGGAGAGATCTATCATCACAAATATCAAATATTCTGGATCAACGGTCAACGGCTCGGTAAGGTTATCCCTCTGCCAGAGAGGTTGTTTCTCGTCAGCACTCATGAGCAAAAAAGTTTTAGATCTACAGAGAAACTTCTATAAACAGAAGATATGCAAAACATACAAATGGACATACAAGCGCTTGCACTTTAAAGGGTCTTTTGCCGGGGACAGGGGACTGGGGACTTTGTTTTTACTAAAGAATATTGCAGTACACGATGTAGTGTAAACACTTTTCCTTTAATTAAAATGTACACGCTATAATTCAAGTCGTTTAATAGAAAAAGAGAGTAAAATTTTAAGAATCATAATCGCATTACCAAATGTCCTAAAGTAACGAAATTAGGACGGACTTATGTCATGCATTGCTATTTTAAAAAAACAACATTCGTGCAGTAACAGCAAAAGTGCTGTATACCAAAGTGTTGAGTCCTGTCCGAAAAATAGACTCCAAGGGAGCCAGTGCCTTTACAAATACCACAGATGGACAACTCCTCCCCGAAACGTTTCTCACTCTGATACAATGAGTTTGTTCTCCTGCTTTTGTCGAAAATTCTTGTCCAACCATCAATTGCGCTAGCACGACGTAACGCTGCCTTAAAAGCACAGGGTTGTATCTTCTTTGTACCTAGTTTTCAGAAATTCTACGTCAAACTTTTTCGAATGCTAGTCTTTGAAGATCTTGATAGCTACTCCGAATGATCTTACGGGTTTGATAGAACGGAGCAGAAACAGCATTTTTGGTGTCTGACCCTATGATCTTTGTCACTCAAAACGGCCAAACATGCCAGATAGAACTTTGTAATTCTTAGGTAACGATAATATTATAATACATTTTAATTCGCTACACTGCTGTGAAGACGTAAGCACTCGCTTGTGATCGCCTAAATTAATTCTCTGCCATTGTATACTGATGTATAAGGGGAAGTTTGAGAAGATGCAATTACAACTAACACTTGTGATGTTGTTTATCCTTAAATAAGGGGACACATACTGTGGCTTTGTTGAAAATTTCTCTTAAATGAACATTCTATCTTTTCTGTACAAACGTAGATGGATAAGCTCAGGAATGTAGAAGTTAATATGGTAACTCTCAGTTTAAAATGCACGAACAGCAAGAGTAGAAGTGTTTCTGGGATTTTTAAAAAATGAGTTCTTGGTTAGGATTTCAAGAATTGTGCATCGATTAGGACACAATACTTAAAAACTGTAGTCCCGAATTCGACCTTAGTTAAAAAGATAACGTTGAAAGAATTGTTAAAAAGATCGTTTTTCAGGTACATACATAGGCTCTACTATACGAACTATTGTCTTTCGCAGATGAGCTTTTCTGCATAGGTGGCCCCTTACATAACCGTGCTATTTGAAAAGTGGTTTATACTTAACCCACATCAGCATTGTTAAAGAAAATATCGTTATGCATGTTGAGGCTAGAGGCATGTCCTTCCCCAAACGGAATCTCTTAACACACTGAATGACAAATGTGCTTTCTCAGTGTACAATAATAACATGCATAATAGAAAGATACGTGAAAGGCGTGCAATAAACTTTTGCCTTGCAAACAGATGTGTAACCATCACCCTAATAAGGAGTGTTTCGTGCAAGGTTCACCTGATTTGGTCTCTCCTCCCCCTTTGTTGTCTGCTCTGTGTACGGTCACCGCAGAGCTTTGTGAGCCACTGCTAGTTGTGTCATCGCTTTCCCCCTCTATCACAGTTTTTGATTGGGCTCCAGCACCGTGGAGCGTTTGCCCTGGCGCTGATTTTGACAACTGTTTGTCGTTTCCCGCAGACGCCTCGCCTCCGCTGCCACGATCTTCGCTATCCTCTGGTTCCCCGGCCTCAGGTATAGTCTCCGGCACTGACTTACCCAAAGCTGGGGCACCCTCGTTCTGAGACTCCGACCTCTTTGCCTCAACACGACGATTATATTCGGTGTAAACATCATCGAAAAATGGGTTCGAAGTATCGATATCTAAATCTAAAGATTCATATTTCGAAAGTTTACCTTTTTTCCGAGGAGCTCCAGAAGCGGACGAGGCTTTGACCTTCCCTTCTGTTGTAGCAGGAGCGGTTTCGGTATTATTTCCTGGCTTGGTTTGGGAGGAATCTGAGGACTTGTCGCCACTTTTTGCCTTCTCTGCGGCTTGCTCATCCGATAGCTCTTGCAAAAGATCCTCGGTACTCCCAATGTTGTAATAAGCTCCTTTGAATTGTGTCTTTAGGTTTATCCTTTCCTCGACTTCAGACAGGCTGTTATTCCTGTCTAGGCTAGTGTTCTCGTCGTTTTGCTCTGACGGCCCGTCTGCAGGTCGAGATGACGAATCAACACTGTCGCCACGAGGGAACAACTGTGCGTTCGTTGACTTCCCAGCACTTACACCAAGATCCCCCTCTTCGTCATCTAGATCGACAATCCCCTTCACAAATACCTCATCTTCGTAACTGGCGTCAGTGTCAAAGCTGATCTGACCATTTCTCTCTGGTCTCTCGGCGTTGAACGGGTTGATTCTGCCTTTCCATGCAGTGGTTGTCTTTTCATCGCCGTTCTCCTCTTTGGCTTCAACACCGCCCTCTTTCTGATTTAAAGTCGAGGAGTTGTCTGAGGAGGGTTTACTCTCGTCAGCATTCTGCTCTGGGGGAACCTCAATGCCTTCCCCTGCTTCACCTTGTTGGGATTTTTTGTTAAATCCAATACTAAAGAACCGGAACTTTTGTCTAAAACTCGATCGTTTCGACTGGGTATCTAGAGACTCGCTGCGTGCTACAAGAGTTTTCTTGTCGTCCGTCGTGGTTGCCATCTCGTCCTCCTCTGTCCAATCTTCCAGCCCTGGGGATGACGTCACCACTCCAGATTGACTCACCTCGGTATCCTCTTTACCATCTCCTGACGTCACAGGGTGTGCATTAAGACCGCCAGTTTCTACATCTGGCTGAGATTTTATATCATCAAAGCAATGAGGGTTGTCACCCTTCTTGTCAGTGAAAGACGTTTCTTCAATTTCTCCTGTTGCCTCTCTGTTACTCGGGTTCTGCTGGTACCCAGAGATCTCCGGATTCCTCTCACCGGCCTTGATTGCAACTGGTATCTGAGAGGATACACTTTGCTTTTGGTTATTGGATGCTACCTGAGAACGTTTAGTCTTCTCCTGCTGATTGGTTGCTGAATCCTCGTAAAGTGTATCTGTGTCTTGAATAATTGTCGGCTCCTTTTGGAATGACACAGTGTTGGGCCCTCTGTTGTCCAGGGAGTACTTCCTATCTGAGCCGATGGTTGTAGAACTTAAAATACCACTGTCATCACTAGCAGTAGAAGCATTTGAAAGCTTTCGGCGTATTGCTTCTCTTCGCCTGTCTGTTGCTGAAAGGATCTGGGCGTACGAGCCCTCGCCTAGCACGTTAGCTCTGTCGTTGCTCCTTCGGCTGGAATAAGAGAAACCTCCAACTCTTCGTTCCTCTTCTATGGAAGCTTCAGAATGAATACTGCTCACACTAGAAGATCGACTAGGAAAACGATCCTCACCCCTCCGCCCTACTAAGACACCGTCGTGACTTCGACCTCTTCGTAGAGATCGCGAACTGGCCCTAGAAATGTTCGATCCGCGTGCGGAAGTTGAGCTTTGACTCGTGTTGCTACTGCCGTCGAGAATATCTCCACTCTCCACAACAGTCTTGCCGTATTTGGAGAGGTTTTTTTCCAACTGCTCTCTCAACCGTCTGCCCTCGTGCCGAGCGAGGATGATACTGTTGTATCGCCCCAGTCGTCGCAATTGTCTCTCGCACCTGTTACACACATTGATTGATGGGTACTCCTCGCTAGCCTGTGCCCCGAGCACGCGAGAGAAGATGTCACACAGCTCACGGTTTTGATGGCTCGTGAGCGCAGTGAATGTCCTGTCTCCACCACCACCGCCGCCGCCACCGCTGGTACCAGCCCTGTTGTTGTTGGCGCTGCACGTGAGACACCATGGCTCGCTGTACTCCCCATCCTGTGACCTCTGACTCCGGAGACTCGCCCTGCGTCCGCCTGATGACGACATCTGGTCACACTTGGTTGAGCCTTTTTAATTGGAGTAAAAATATAATGCACTTTCTCTTGTTTTGATCCTTGGTTTGATCAGTAAATAGCCACGACTGATTATTCTCTTCAATGTTTTGCCTGAAGGCAGTGCTACAAAACACACCAGATCGAAACTGGTGCATTAATCCTCGATAAGAAGGATTATCAAATTTCCGTTCAACTGAATAAGAATACAGTCCAACTAATTCAATTCGACACTGAGTCACAAAATATCCTTTAAAAGAAACATTTGAGAATAGATCACTTCAGCACTGGTTCAACTGTTTAAAACTGGAAATGTTATAGTTATAATTATCCTGACTTGGGTACACAAAAAGAGGAGTTGAAACCAAAACGAACACTTCGAAATTATCGGCTATTTAGAGTACACTCAAGCGGCTAGTTCAAAGTGTATTTATACAATTTGCTGGGTGAATGAAGCGCATACAATTTGCCATATTTCCTCGAAACATCTTCACTTGCGAACCACACAACTCGAATGACAGACCACAGACTGAGCTGATGGATAGAGAAAGCTGTGTCTTGGGGATAACCCTGAAGCGTAAACAAGGGGACAAGGGAGGGACCCACACAAAGCCAGCCCATCTGACCTCCCGATCGATCTGCTCAAAGATGTTCCCGTGAACGGCACAGATTTATTATTTCTTCGACCCACACACCCACTCCAACACACTTCAAAGCAGAGCGCAAAACTAACGATTTTCGGATTAGTCTCTCGCCTAGTCAGAAGAAAATCTTTATCTAAGTATTAACGAGTCATTGGTGATTCACCGAACACGTATTTTAATTATGAGCTGTTCACTTTAGTAATATTCTTAGGTCATTTGTGTTTAATAAATTCATGAGAAAGTTTTTTTTATGTAACGTTATCAAGCAAAGGTTTGCTTTAGATCTCTCTCTCTCTCTCTCTCTCTCTCTCTCTCTCTCTCTCTCTCTCTCTGCTCTTTCCTCCAATACACCAGTCTCACGAGACTCTTTGACACAGCTTCAACTGCGATGTGTTCGCTTAAGTAGAACAGTATTTTTATTTTAAATTTCACAAAGAGGTCTTCAAACTAAACTTCGCTTAAGCAACCTTTTACGGTATCATCTAGTACAAAATATACTAGATTTCTAGCGGGGTACAAATTCGGCAAGGAACACAAAGCCATTGCTGGTTTCAATCCGGGTGTGTAAGATTTTTCACTGGTGGACCACTTTCGGTCATTGGAACAGCAGTTAGGGGTAATCACCGTCAAAGTATGTTATCTAATGACAACAAGTGTATTGAGTTATAAATATATAAGCAGCCAGCAAGGGTCACACTGACTGAGCGGCGGCCGTCTGTTGCACACCCCTGGTTTTAAGTCAGATCTCTAGCTCGTCTTTCTATGATAATGTTACAAGCCACTCCACCAATTAATATACAGAAAGAGGAATGCTACTGTGTCTCCACACAATAAGATTTTGGAGAATCCCTCACCTCAGTCGTTGGTAAGATCTCGTGATTACACAAAAAAATATTTCATAAACGAGCAGTTGACATAAATTATCGAATATTTGTCTACCCAAATTACAGGCACATGACTTTCCACAAGGTGGCACAGATAGCTCAGTTGGTTTTATGCTGGACTGCGCTGTACTGTTGTTGTTGTTTTGTTTGTTTTTGTTTGGGTTTTTTCGTGTGGTTTTTTTTGGGGGGGTAGGGGGTTTAGGCTCTCCGTCAATTTGGCTGTGTCCTATCGGAGATGGACGTTAAAGGATGATACAGTGTTGAAATGGGCGTTAAACCTATGCAGTAATTCTCATGCACGTATTTTCTTCGCACATAAATCGAGAGCTTTAGGAAAAAGATCTCCACTTTAATTTATTTTTACATCCAAACAGAACAGACACTGTTATTAAGATTGTGTCATCGAAAAAGTTTTCACATTTGAATTCTTCGTTAACTAAGCCTCCAAATCAACCTCCTCAAATTTCTAAGAGATGGCATCCGAGCTAAACAATGAATAAATGTAATAGCACTGGACATTTTCAATAGCATCATTTTGTTGTACAGGAGCTAGTCGATGGTCCGAGTACCACGGCAACGATAATATCATGACGTACTTGACATTTTCTTTTCTAAAGCTGAATGGGAAAATTGTTTTTATTGTTCAGATTCGTTAACATAGGCTTAGTTGTTAAATGTTCTTCGGAAAGCAGACACGAGAATACCAATGTTCCAAGCGCCGTCAAGAATTAATATGTTCTGGGTGTGTGGCTTTGGAATGCATATCGATCAAAACCTCGATGATTACAAAACACCTATCTTCGGAGCACGTAAACGTTAATTTGGATAGTAGGACACTACTTTTTTAAGGCATTGGTGGAAAATGGGTAAGAAGAATAAAAACAGCAGAAACGGCATTATGCTGTTTGGTAATATCAGTGATTAACATATCTGTCCCTTTCTACCCTCACCACCACGCTGGCTCTTTTAACAGGAGTAGAGTGGCTAGTGTACACTGATCAGTACTGGTACGTGCGTATTTAAATGTTTTACATGTCCAAATATACAGTGAAACTGTATGCTTCAACAGAAGGCGTACGTGCGTCATTCAAGCCTGACATGAGAATAAATCAATTTGCCTTTTCTTTTTTTCTTTTTCCATACATTTGATACAGGCTTTGATGAAAGTGAAACTCGTTACATTTATTATTATTATTATTATTATTATTATTATTATTATTATTATTATTATTATTATTATTATTATTATTAGTATCATTATTATCATTATCATTATTGTTGGTGTCGTTTGCTGTTTTTATTAGTGATTAATTATTAGGTCTATAATAATACTATAAATTATTATCATTAATATTATTATTATTATTATTGTTTTATTATTGTTTTATTGTTGTTGTTATTATTATTTTTATTATTATCATTATTATTATTAATATTATTATCACCATCATTATTATGATTATCATCATTAATATCACAACATCATTGTTATTGTTACCATTGTTATCATTATGATTATCATGATGATGATGATGATGATGATGATGATGATGATGATGATGATGATGATGATGATGATGATGATAATCATAATAATGATGATTATTATTACTGTTATTATTATAATCATTATCATTATCAATATTATCATTATTATTATCATTATTTATTTTATGATTATTAGTATTAATAATTTATTATTATTACGATTATTATTACGACTAGCTCTCTGCGCTAGGACTACGTAAGGTATTAATCATTAGCAACCTGACACCCGTCATCGTTAAAAGATCTCTTGCTTGTAGTAAGTGGGAACGAACTGAGAGACAGAGCAACACGTCTGTTTCAGCCACAAAACATTATTTTGGACTTGTTGGGGAAAGGCAGACTACGCAAAGAGCATGTTCTTCCTACAAAAGAATCAATATCTTAAATAAAAGATGACATCGTAACTTGTCGCAGCAGTGACAGAATGTAAAGTTTAAAGTCAGGGGATAATATGCGAAAGCTCACCCAAGAAGCGAAAATAGGAACATCTTTTCAAATTCAGAAACTTTCCTTTTCAGTGACTGTTTTTCTACATCTTCCATAGACAAACTTTAAAAAGTGCTGTGGCTTAAAGGCCCCTCTACAGCAAATAAAATAGAGCTCAGATGCTGGCGTCCCTGGAAAGGAAATTAGATCTATGGATGTAAAAAGGGTGTACACCTTGTCGTTAAAGCGTGGAATTTTCTCCCTTCTAAAGCTTTCTAATTTGTCTCAGGCATTATGTCAGAAAAAAACTATCCTTCTCTATCAAAATCATGTGTGAAACTCGAGAAAAAATTTAAACAGCGTACTATCTTCCCGCTTTTCATTAACACACCACACTGCCGTAGAAATACCCTGTAGTGAAACTGAATGAAAAAGAATGTTTAGTTCCGCATTACGTACATGTCACAAATGGTTGTACTCCGCATCATTAGTACATTAGTATGAACATAGACTCGTATAATAATTATCATTTGTGTATTCTTTTCAAAGACACAAAAAAACACTGTTCAAGTACTTAGTCTTGGGTGAGCTCTATACACAACACATATTGTGAGCAGTGCAGTTACCAGAGATGTCATAAATTATCCTTTTCACGTTGTACTTTACTGTCCGTTATATCTTTTTTGAAAATTCTACCTGTTTGAGTTAAAAGAACTGTGAATTTTTGAGCATTTATACTTCTTCATTTGATCAACATCTATAGATCTAGAACATTTGCATTCCATTTTATCCCCCCCCCCCCCCTTAAAAACTTCGATTTACACAATGCAGATTGTTACCCTAAAAGTACATGTGTCGTCCGTAGCTATTTTGTTGGGATTTTATATTTGTTAAGATTTTCATAACATTCCTTACACGCTATGACTGTGCTGTTCACATTCCATTATGTTTATTTATTCAATCCCCAATAGACATGCACTTTTAAAAGTCGTTGGTTTCTTGGAGGCAGATGTTGCAAAAACAGTACAATGAGTCTTGTTTTCTAGACGTTGTTTATTTAAGTACAAACATTTCAGAAGCTTTAAGCATTGAATGTTTCGGTTTGATGATAATAGCTACCATTATCTCTGTAATTATTCTTTGGAAACAAAGGGGTTTCCTTAAGCCATAATGTTATTCTGTCAAATCTTAGTTTCATTTACTGGGGCGAAATGTGAAAAAACTAACACGCACAAGTGGATTTAGTTCATGCTAGACAGGGCCCATGGTCGACAGATCGCCACAAGCAAGGATTTGGATAGATGAATCGTAAATTTCGGACAAAAGGTGCCTCTTTACCTCACAGAGATCAGTTGCATGCCTTGGCTGCATCCCATCAGCATGGGAGTCCTAAACCCTGACAGGACAACGACCTATTTTTATGCTCTTTGCTCCCTCCTAAATTGAACGTGTAAAGAGATTCCTAGACATACATACAATAAGATAACAGAAGCTATTCGTGAATATCAAATTTCTTTGGCAGTACCAGGAACGGCAATACAAAAGAATTTTTAAAAACTAGCACAGTTGTTTTGAAAATGAACCACACATTATAAGAACACTCATCCATTCCAACACTGGTTACTGAAGAGCGGAACTGCACAATAGCACAATGGCAAAACAACAATGCATCCTTTAGCATAGCGAAGACATCATGAAAATACATACAGTATGGTCACACTCCACCCAACTGTACGATGTTAAAGAACGAAAACGACAAATTAGTTTACTAGCCCAGCTCTTGCATCTCTCAGGTATGTTTTCCCGCCTAGCATGGCAGAGTTGTTCTTTCCTTTTGAATTTGAAGATCGTTTACTGTCCACCACTACACGTTGTTCTATTCGCGTCAGTCCGTTGGCTCATTACGTGAAAGCACCCTAAGAGGACCCGTCATAACTGCGCGTGCTTCAAGCTGAATATCCAATTTATCGAACTGATTTGGTCGTTCATTGTTGCGGCGAGTAAGCAAGAAAAGGATATGAAAAGACACGTGCATTTCCGGATTGTTCCGA